GCACGGGCCAAGTCCCGGAGGACTGGAAAAGGGCCAACGTGGTCCCCATTTTCAAAAAGGGGAGGAAGGAGGACCCGGGCAACTATAGGCCAGTCAGTCTCACCTCCATCCTTGGCAAAGTCTTTGAAAAAATTATCAAGGCTCACATTTGAGAGAGCCCGGCAGGACAAATTATGCTGAGGGGAAATCAGCACGGGTTCGTGGCAGGCAGATCATGCCTGACCAATCTAGTCTCTTTTTATGACCAGGTTACGAAACGCCTGGACACAGGAGGAGGGGTGGATGTCGTATACTTAGACTTCAGGAAGGCCTTCGATACGGTATCCCACCCCATACCGGTGAACAAGTTAAGAGGCTGTGACTTGGATGACTACACAGTCCGGTGGGTGGCAAATTTTAGTCTGTTTAAACCTCTCCACCACACTAGTCATCTGGAGGTTCTGACAGGCTGGGCTCTCAGAGGCACCTACACCTGTTGCAGGAGGAAGGAGATGAAGATGGTGCTTTGATCAATACAAAAATTGTGTGGATATTTTATGGTTCTATGGCCAATGTTTGGGCCAAGGCATTGTGAATCATTACCACTTCTGGACACTGGGTAGGATAATCCACTTGGATAAAGTGGAAACTGCTGGTACTGGGCTCCAAAGTCCCAATGATATCTATGTCAACCTTCTCAAAATGGGTGCCCACCTAAAGCAATGGAACCAACAAGCTCAAAGGCATGTGTGTGGGGCTACCAGCAGGGACTCAGGACAGGGCACAAAGCACAGTAAAGTTTAATTTTGTATTTAATCATTATCCAGAATAAGCTGGTGAATAACCTTTTCTGGGTCGCAACCTGAAGGATGTTGTGATGCCAAATTGGAACCAACTTCTGGTTTTTCTAGGCCCTAGTACTTCAAGCCCACAAAACCCACATCAGTACATCCCTTTGCAATTCAAAGTGGGTATTCTGGGTGGCTAGGAGAGGATTATTTACTCAGGCAAACTAGCAATGGAGTGGTGCAAATGCTAGGCCTCTCTTTTGGGCCTCTCTTACTGCATAATATTTTTGTTAAATTGGACATTAGGAAGAACTTCTTGACAGTTAGAGTGGCCAGGGTCTGGAACGGGCTCCCAAGGGAGGTGGTGCTCTCCCCTACCCTGGGGGTCTTCAAGAGGAGGTTAGATGAGTATCTAGCTGGGGTCATCTAGACCCAGCACTCTTTCCTGCTTATGCAGGGGGTCGGACTCGATGATTTATTGAGGTCCCTTCTGACCCTAACATCTATGAATCTATGTAGCAGGACAGATCAATGCAAATAAGGATTTTGTATTTTATAGCCTCTTCGTTAGGGAATAGATTAAAAATTAACACCAATGGATGCTTAATAAAAACGTAAGTACAGCGTTTCCAGTTTTTTATTCTGTATGACCCCCTCTTTATAAGCAGTCTTATACAGAAGAAAATAGGACCCTTGAGGATTCTGAAAATAGTCCATACTCAAGGTTAAGACCACTACTGTAAATGAAGGGGTATTATGACTGTTTCTTTTGAAAGTGCCTGAAGCAAAAGCCAAGGGAGAGATTCCGAGAGAAAATTGATCAAATAAAGCAGGCCACAATAACAACACAGTGAAAAAAAGGAACTTTTTCTGTGGTAACTTCACAGAAAAAGTAGAACTAGAAGAATAGCATCTAACCCTTTATCAAGGAGACCAGAGCACATGAAGCCAGGATACAACGGTGGTATTTAAAGAAGTGCTGAGAGTGGGGATGGGACCCAAAAATTCTTTGGGTCATAGACAGGAGGTAGAGCTGGTATTTTAAAAGCTTTTCCCTGGAATTAAATAAAAATCGTTACAGTGAGCAAACATCTTAACTA